ACCCAATCCTTGCTTTATGTGCTTAGTCACTTTTGGAGAGGACTGTACCCAGGGAGGAGACTGGGCAGAAGCAGTGACACACCATAACCAGCCACCAGGCCCTGGGGGGCTGGCAATGGGAGATGCAGAGCAGACAGGAATCTAGCATCCATTTCTTAATGTACGCCGATGAGCACAAGAAATTCTTGAAAGATGCGGCCTCTGGTATTTGCTCAGTTGTCTATTAGGGAAAAAGAAACAAAACTCTTTGGGTCTTCCAAAGATCCTCACGTTACCTGTCCAGTAAAGGAAAATAGGGAACATTCGAGTCTCTGATCTTACAGAGGTTCTTTTAAGACAACAGCATTAGGTACTCTACAGAACTGCAATAAAAAGACATCCTCTGCCTCAAAGAATGCCTCTCTAATTGCTTACAGAGCCTGTCAACGCCTTCTTTGAGAAGGGAAGTCTGTGACTGTCCCATAGCACCAAATACCCCTAGAAAAAACTTTCACTGTTCCGTGCAAAGTCATCTGTAGACCAGCTCAGTACCTACCCCAACACCATCCCCTCCAAAGTACACTATATACCGTCACTTGCTACAGACCACACAGGCAATGTGAGAAGTGGGAAGGAAGAAAGACTTTTTCCTCACTCTTTAGCAACTGGGAAAACTCGTCCATACAAGGGAAATCCAATCTCAGACGTATCAGTATGGAAAACAGTGATCATTTGTTAACTTGCAAAATGCCATAAACTCTTTTAGGATGAAAAGTACTCCTCGGTTTTGAGGAGATGCTGCTCCATGATTTCAAGTCCTGTTGGGCATCTGCCATGCCCTGTTCTGGGATGGATAAAGCAAACCACTCTCAGGTAGTTACATCTACAACACGCTTCAGGATTTAAGTCTCTCATGAAAGAGATAAGCTATCTAAACATAAAGTGTAACAACGGGACAAAAAGCAGCTTCCAGAACTCCCTCTACAAGCCTAATAGGGAAACGATGATAATTTCCCTCTGTTCTTCTCGCCAGCTGAAGTCTGTCTGTTTTCCAGCCCCCCCTGCCCTGCCGATAACAAACATCTGGTAGGGGCGTCCTCCCTCGTGCAAGAGGGGAACAGACCCCTCGCAGCCTCTGGGGCTCTGTACCTCAGCAAAGCCCCTGGGAGCCCCTGCTATAAAAGCCACAGAGAAACCTCTGCCAGCTTTCTCTATTGACTACAGAAGTGTTACATGGAAAACGATTTTTTTTTTTTTTTTATTTTTTTTACAGCCCCCAATAAGGGCCCCAGTAGTTAAGGAGACCTTCAGGAACAGCACGCGAGGAGTCTGTGGTGGAGGCGATCCCTCGAAGGCCACCCCAGGCGTGACTTTCCAATGCTCTCTATTTTAGGATCTGCCTTCCTATCCCTTATCTACCAGCAGCTTTTACTTATCGACTGCTTCAGCAGAAAGCCCTGGAGGCTCCAGGCTGTGGGCTCCCAGCCAAGGCTCCCTTGCTGTGGCTCAAAGATGTCCTGCTGAGGCCTCCTGGCCTGCCACACGCCGTGTCTGCCAGCCTTGCTGAGCCTCTCCTCCGGCCACCTGAAGGGAGCTGGGTCCACACAAACACCTCCAGGCCCAGCGTCGGGAGATCTGAAATGCTGATAAGTTTGCCTCTGGACCCCTGGGCCCCGATCTGCGGGTAATGAGGGGAAGGAGGGAAGCAGAGCCATGGCTCCCCTTTCCAGGGAGGCTGGTCTGTCTCCAAGAGCGGCCTCCGGGGAGGCTGCAGCCTTGCCTGCCTGGGCAAGGGCTCCCCAAACCCGCTCCGACACGCCAGAGCCCTGCGCTCGCCCCGGGTCGCGCTCCAGCAGCGCAGAGGCACCGCCAGCGGTGCCTTATCAGCCCTCCCCAGAACAAGTAAGGACAGGGGCGCTCGGGATACGGCCCAACAAGCCTTGCTCGGCCCCGGCACAGGGACCTCAGGCAGAAGAGGGTGAATTGAAGCCAGGAAATTGGGAAGGAGGGAGGCGTGAGGGCCCAGCAGCAGCCCCCACATCCTTTAGGAGGCAGCACGTGCTTGGGGAACGGGCGCGCGTTCGCAGGACCCGCTGTAATCCCAGTATCATTCCCCATTGCCAAGTCCAAGAAGAAAGCAGAACTGAGAGGGATGTCTATGCTGGGAAGAAGGGAGATGTTATTTTCACTAAGCATGAGGAGAGATGGGTGGCACAACCCTTTTTTTTTTTTTTTTTTTTGTTATCTTCCCCACCCCACAGCATCCTGGGCTACCTGCACCAAGCAGGAGCTGGGCATCCAGACACCCAGCATGTCCCCAGCCCAATGTTCAACATAGAATCATAGAATATCCTGAGTTGGAAGGGACCCTTAAGGATCATCAAGTCCAACTCTTGACACCGCACAGGTCTACCCAAGTTCAGACCATGTGACTAAGTGCACAGTCCAATCTCTTCTTAAATTCAGTCAGGAATTTAACATGGTCGGGAGCTCTCAGGAAGAGCAGCTCTTTTATTCCTCATCCCTCCTCCTGCACCTCCCTGCAACACACGGTATTTATGTGCTGACTGCAGAGCAGCAAGCAACGCGTCCTCTTGCATCTGGGCTGCAGCATGTGGGCTTGGCCTTGGCAGTGTCTGCTAGAGCTCATCCTTGGCTCGTGTGCTAAAATTAAGTGCCTCCAGAGCAGGAGGAGCACGGTCCCAGACCCCTGGAGAAAGAAGGCACGCGGTATTTATGCAGCGAGATCGTTTTGCTCGCAGCACGCACTTTCATTACGCTGGCTCCCCGCTCTCCCAGCTATCTTTCAAAGCACCACACCACAACCAAAAACCAGCTGACAGGAGAGAATTGAAGTCATTCCCTTCTCCTCAGCCACCAAGTCCTGCAGGGGCAAGACACTACCAACAATACGTGCAGTGCCAGGGGCCCCAGGTGGACAACCACTCACTGGAGCCACCATCCTTCGTTGACTGATGCAAGGGCTAATGAAGATGAAACTCTGCTATGGACAACTCTCAGCTGGAGAACTTTGATGCAAAATATCCCCAGTGATGCTCTTCTGAAGAGCAGGGCAAGGTGGAGGATAGAGCATGGGGCTGGGTATCAGGCAACACAGTGTCCATAGTAAGCTCCAACCCCAACTGTGCTGAGTGACCCCAAGGCACACAAGTCCTTCTTCATGCTTTGTTTTCATCTCTGGTCCTGCTTTTGTCTTGCTGTTTCAACAGTGTCTAACGTGGCTGGGTCCCCAGTCTCAGTTAAACCTTGTAGACACTACTACAATACAAATAATAATTGAGGTTTTGGAATACAGTGGTGGCGTGGCAGGCCTTCCTCAGGCCTTCGCCCAGGGAGCCAGTGTTAAGAAACCTCTACTTATCTTCAATGCTTCGGCTACGCACAAACTGGGTTACGCTCAGATTTTTGTGGCTGCTGAAATCCGTGCTTGTTTGCTTGGTCACTCGTTTGGGAAATTTTTGGGAAGGTGGTTCTTTGAAGTGGCTCGGATGGTAGGAGTGTCCAAAGCTGTCCCAGGGGAGGTAGATTATAGGGCAGAAAGCAGGCGAGGTGGTCAGGCATCAATGATAAACATGGACTTGCCACTTTGCTCTTGACATTGTCCACCTTGTGCTTCTTCTCCCTCCACCCCAAGTCTGCAGCCAGACAATCACGAGGAAAACCCTACCACTGTACATACAGCACGTATGTTCCTGCCTAACTTAGTGTGTTAACATAAATAGTTGACCCTTGCTTGCACAAAAGCCAGCAGACTCCATGAGGCAATCAGCAGGGTCCCACAACTTGTGCTGTGTGTTTGTGGAGCCCATGGGCTGCACAGGTCACCGAGCATGGCTGACCATCAACCTGAGACCTTCTCCCTCTCTGCTGGCTGGGAAGAAGTCTCCGACAGGACCTGGAGCTCGGGTGCCAAGACACTAAGCTACTCGTGCAATGTTCACCACTGCTCAGGTGGTGCAAGAGGGGCAAGGTCCTCCAAAGCAAGTCAGCCTTGCGCTGTCTCACACTCTTCCTCTACACCATTAGGTCAAGTGTTCAGACACAAGTTGGCACACAACAAGGAGATCTACTCCTTGCCTCCTCTGAAGCAAAAATCTCTCTTCTTCAGGCCATCTCCAGCTTCGGATGTGTCCCTGGTGATGATGGACACATCCAGAGCAGCTTCCATGCCTCTCTTAGGAGCCCTCTGTTCTCTATCTTCTCACAGCCCTGACTCACCCCACAAGCATCAGGCTCCAGAGGTGCCCAAGAGCTACACGCCAGATGTCCAGCTTGGCCAGCTGCGGGGTAAGGAAGTCCCCACGGGGATGCAAAGGCTGGCAGATACTCTCCACCATGCCATTAAGTCACGCCAGGTGCTCCTGAAAAATCCCACCCAGCGCGTTTCTGAAAACATCTCCTGACACCGTGACTCGAACCCACCCCTTCAACCTGACAGTGCTTGGGTTTGTTCAACAAGCAGCTTTCGGTGAGGGGGAAAAAAAAACAACAAATAAATCGCATTCACCATCAGCTTAGATTCAGGGGGGCCAAAGGAATCGCTCAGGGACAGCAGCGGGCTCTGAAGAAGCGGGGCCAGCTCGTCCCTTTTACCACCCACGGCCGAGGAACGTGCAAGCAAGCACCACCTTCCTGCCCCAGAGGGGACTGCCATCCAGCAGAGGGCTGGAGCCACGAGAAGGCTCCACGTCAGCTACAGCCCAGGGAGCAACTTGGGACAGAAGGCGCTAGATGAAGTAAATTATTATTCAGCATCCAGAACGCCATTGGCTTCCAAATAATTGTCTATTTGTGTGCGTGCATGCACAAGAATCCTCGCTCCGTGGTCTCTGCCAGCATATTCCCAGTACTGCCACTCTCCGGGGACAAGGCCCATACTTGTATTCAATCTTGGTGTTGGATCTCAAACACTAAACTTTCAGATTTTGTTTTAAAAAACATTTTCTCTGGCAACCGGGCTGTTAATGGATTTGATGTTTTTGCTCTTGCCTCCTACCTACCTTTAAAAGCTTGGCACCAGAGGGCTTCTTTGAAGATAAGGCCAAATTTGCAATTTAAGGGGTGGAACTTCATAAAGCTAGACACGGAGGGATGGAGAGGAGGAGGGAAAGAGAGGGAAAAAAAAAAAAAAAAACCAGGAGCCACTTTGCTTGTCGAGATACACTGTACAGTAGTACATAAGACTACAATGGCCTCTCTGTACCACCACTGGCTGCAGCCATAAATTTGCTGCAGCTGCAGGGCTGCTACCTACGCTAGGCTCCTCACGGGTCCTGCTCAACGAGCGGCTCCCCTCCAGCAGGACAGCCAGCCTGCCCCCAGAGCAAAACCAGAGCCCACATCCACCCAGCACATGCGGGTGGACGTCCCCTGAGGTGACCGCAGCAGCTGAAACCCACGGCGGTCCTAATCCGAGAGGGTTTTTGTGGCAGCCAGCAAAGCCACGGCCTCTGCGGATCTCCAGCAGCCCTACCCTCGGCACCACAAGGAGGCAGGGAAGCGCCGCTCTCAGGTTGTGCAGGTGGAGAACTGAGGAAACTTGCCCTAAGCCAGGGGGGAATCGGGATGCAAAGAACCAAAGCCAGCTCTCCTGCCCTAAAAGGCTGGCATCACTGAGCCAGGTAGCTGCTCTTCCTCAAAGTACCACAATAAGTGAGAGTGACATTACTAAGGGAATCTGCTTTTTGCATATAAATGGTATATTTCAGGCCAGTGCACCCACATTTGAGGTTTATTTCTCAAACACTACCTCAGTAGGTTTGCATCCGCACAAGCTTTCTTTACCACACCAAGCCCAACATTGAGCTCTGCCTCACCTGTCCTTTGTTAGTTAGGCAATAAAACAAAAAGCAACCTCCCTGGGATACCTGAAAGCTGCCAACGCAACTCTGACAGGGACCTTCACACCCTTTTTCTCTCCACTTGTAGGATTTAAGGAGCAGAAGAGCCCGATGCACAGCCTTTAGACACAGAAGCTTGTTCAGACTCGCTGGCATGGCAGGCAGCGAACCCATCCTTGCACTTGGCAGGGCTGTAGGGCCACAGCTCTGCACAAGTGCAGGACTTGCTGGCTAATCCCTTTTCCATCCAGCGCAGACCTTGCAGAGCAAAAATGGCATCGCCACCACGGGGCTCAGGGGTGAAAGACTCTCTCCCTCTGCCAGGAGCAGGAGCTCACAGAAGGTGCCCGCTTTCCAAGCCACCATCTGGCTCTCACAGACACACACCATGGCCCCAAACCTCTTGTGATCCCCACGGCAGCAGGTTTTCATAGCAGCAACACGCTGCTGCGTGGTTTGGATGATGCCCAGCCAGCCTCCGACCCGCTGCACGGGCACAAGGTGCAGTCCCCAGCCCCACGTACGAGGGGAGCTCGGGGAAGGTTTTGGCCACAGGGCTGCAGCATCCCCGGAGCAGCCGAGCTGAAAGGGAGGGTAAAATTTGGCTCTCACCTCTGCGCTGGCATGCTGCCCACAAAGAGGGCGAAGAAGCTCGAGCACGTCCCACACGCTCCCCGAAGCACATTTTCCTCCATCGGTCCCAGCAGAGCCAAAATAAATTGGCACTGGCTCCTGCTCGAGCCCTCCTGTAAGGCACAAGAGCAGCCCGAGAGCCCCTCTCAGCCACTGAGCCTCCTCTGCGCCAGGTGCTCTGCTAACAACTCCATCAGGCACAGCTGAGCCCCTCAGCCTGCTCGTCCTTTTGCAGGGAAGAAAAGAGGCCCTTTTAATAAAAGGAGCATGCAGGCTCCTCAGGGCAGGGATCTGTCGTTCCCTGTTTACGTACAAAACCCCGCACTGCCCGCGGCAGCTTCAGCACCGCAGGCTTTTCCCCTACAACAAACAACTCTCTGAGCTCCTCCGCTTCCACCATGCTCCAGCCCCTTTTGTCTCTGCTGTGCTGCTGGAGCCCACGCTCCTGTGGAGAGCAGATTTGAAGGAGCCTTGTGCGCAAATGTGCGTGCAAAGCAAATTTTGGAGGCTTCCCATCCTGCGAGCGCTGCGCTCAGCCAAGGAAGCAGCAGGGAACAATGCCGTGGGATTCAGGGCCAAGAAGGACTGAACCAGGCACCAGGAAATCAGGAACGATGTTTGCGATGCATTTGGTTGAACAGTTGTTCAAAAATACATTTAGGAGAAAAAAAAAAAATGGAAGCCGGTCTTCACTGGGACCTGCAATCCCTTTATTCATTACCCTGCAAATTGTCCTTGTGGCCTAGGAGCTGGAATACTTAACAACCTTTTAAGCTGAGCCTTGACCACAGGAGCACCAAAGTACACAGCAGCAGGTTTTTCCCTCAGGATGTTTTCAGTCTAACCAGAAACAGGAAGTCTCCGAAGGTTTTGCAAGAGAGCTTCTGCGTTGTGGGATACCCCATCCCAGCAGCAGACTTTGCAGGGCAGAGCTCCTAGCCTGGGAGGCTATGGTTTAAACCAAGAGATTTGCAATCCCTGGTCCACAAGACGCAAGCAGTAACACATCAAAATACCCTTGCACGTCAAAGAAGTCCAAGGGAATTGCTCCTCATACATCTGAGGCACAGTTTCAGGCACTAAAATGACCAGCTGACCATTATTTGTTGCCCAAGAAACTCGTGTTAACCCAGAGTTACTCTGGCCTACTGCTGCTGGGACTTTCTGAGGGCTGAGTGATTGAGACTTACCAACCTGGTAGGTAAGGGGCCCTTTGGGAGATGGCCTGTCTCCACCTGGGCACAGGGAAAGATTTTGGAGGTGCAGAGGAGCATGGCCAAGCTCGTGTCACCTGGTGTGTCTGAGCTCTGCCCTGAGACACGAGGGACACTGCTCTTGATGGCAATTTGGGTGGCAACTCATCCCACCTGCACAGGGTTCAGCCCCGTTTCCTGCAGGGGCAAACTGAGGCACGGAGCTATGAAGGAAATTGTTTAAGCTCATGCAACGCATGTGCATTGGTCACAGTCCTGACAGCTCAACATCCAAACCTCTGTGGCCACCTGAAGATTGTCTTTCCTCCCCTGTCACTCATACCTTGCCTGGTATTTTAGTCAAGCATGGTCATCCAGTAAGGAAGGAGAGAAACAACAAAAAATCAGGTCTGCTTTAAACAGATTAGTTTTCTTAACTGAGGGAAGGAAGTGTCCCCTCAGCATCTCTGGAGAGAGTGGGGACAGAGCAGGCTGCTCGCTTCCCAACCCCACCTGCACTGGGCAATAATTCACCTGTCCTCTAAAAGAGCAAACCTCCAAACTGAGAGTCTCACACCCGACTGGCTGGGAAGGCCTCTGCAAACACCAGGCACCCAGCTTCACTTTGCAGTGCTGAAGAGCCTCTCGTCCTGTACTTACTGGGAATATCGTGTCAGTACATGATACAAAAAAGCTATATTTTCCAGACCACAGGGCTACAAAGCATCCATAAGACTCACATGCCAGTTTGTAGCACATATATTCACCTGTAAAAGTTCTCCTTTGCACCAAGCAGAGAAGAGATGTTTGTGGTGTCAGCTATTTGTGCTGGGATATCTCTCACAGAAAGGTGTCATGGGTGTGCATGTATGTATGAGAGAGAGGAGAAACTGAACTTACTTTCCAAATCTCCACAGGACCCTTGCGCACTCTTCAGATGAACCTGCCCCATTTTCCCCAGCGGGGAGGACTGCTCCCTACCTGACTCCAACCCTCACAGCAAACACCTCTTGTCTGTGTTGTAGTGTGGGATGAGTCTCTGTAATTGTAGCTGGGAGGGGGTGGGAGGGTTTAAAAAAGTACATAGCACAAAACTCCATTTATTTCTTGTCAGAGAATATCACTCACTCAGCAGGGAGCTCACAGCTCTCCCTAATTGTCCTATTTACTTTAGAAGGTCCCAAGATGACTCCCATTAGCGAGGGAAGTTATTTCACCTTCATTTCTTTAGGTCACTTAAATAAACAGAACAAATCTTCACTGCAAACCCGTGAAATGTTTCTGCTGAAGTCCTTGCCAGAGCCATAAACCTCAATATCCAACCCACTGAAAAAACCACGTGCATGTATGTATTTATGCATATATATGTAGGAGCCCTCCTTCAAACGTAGGCACACTGAGGCAGTTCAAAACAAGAAAACAAAGTTAAAGCCCTACTCGCAAAAGCACCCACATTCTTCTAATATTTTCCATGATAGTTTTTTAGCCCATGGGAAAATAAACTTTAATGGCAGATTGTGAATTAACGTACCAAAAAGATACCGTGGTAGGAATATAGAAATTAGAACTGGACACCAAGGAAATCAAACAATTTAAGACATGCCTGGAATTACGGGCGGGCACACAGTGTGTGTGGAAGCCTGTTATCCCACTTGCATAATGCTGCAGAGAGGTCAAGAGAGTTTCTTTAAAACAAACAAGGACAAAAAAAACCTTTAATGGACCTGAACTGCCTTTCCCACAATGCCAGTGAAATCACACTCGGGGTGCCAGAATTAGCCGAGGAAGCGCTCAAAGACACCAGATTTCTATTAAATACCTTTTGCCAGCTGGAGGTATTGGGAAAAGTCCCTTGTTACTTTCCAAAGTAATTATTAGCATATGCAGAGCACTGGGAAAAGTCTCATTTGGACACAGCTACAAATGCTGCATCCCGCTTTGTCCCCAGCACATTTGCTAGTTGCAGCCACCACCGAGACCTGCCAAAGCTCCAGCACCAGCAGCAAGGCACACACGCACGACTCCTCCAGCATCCCGCCGCAGAGCAGAAAGTCACTTCCCCCAACCCAAATCGCTCCTCGTCCTTGCACCAGCGATAAAAATCTACCGCTGCACAAGAGAAGGACTGAAATTTTGCTCACGGATTACCCACCCACGCTCGTCTTTGCAGGAGCAGCCCCTTCACACAGCACAAACCAAAGTGTATTTGGTTGTGTTTGCAGGGGCTGCGACTTGCCTGCAAACTCCCATCTGCTTTTGACAAGAGCTGGAGCAACAGGAGACGAAAACATTTTTTTTTTTGCACAGCTCTTCCCTCTCCCTCTCTCCACCGCACTCCTCGGCCAGCCGGTGGCGGGGACAGGGAGATGTCATGGACCAAGCTTTAGGGGAAGTTTTAAGCAAAGCGCCGAAGCACTGCAGC